CAACGAACGTCTCACGTGACTCGACTTCAACAATACTCTCTGTCAGCATATATTCAATTACTCATCACACCTCTGACTGCAGTTCAATTACTCATTGTTCCGTCACATTGTGACCATCTTATATATACCAGACTACCCCAATCTAGTAGTCTCCCGACAATTCACGAAGGAACAGGATATTTCTAGAAGGAAGTGGCGTGATACTAGTCATGTGACCTCGCTGACGCAACACTATTATTGTACTAATAATAGATAAGCAAATAAGGATTTATACTATTATTGTACTAATAATAGATAAGCAAACAAAGATATATAAGCATAAAAGCATGATGAAGACAGATAAATGTTTTGTCAAAACATGTAGTATGTTCCACTATCAGTAAAATTCTTCCTTATGATTATAAATCATTGTTTGTCTAACTATTATTATATTAGCATAATGTGTTTCCTTACTCAACTACCATTGTACAGAGCTATCCAGCTGCTGACTATATGGAAGTATACTTTTAGATTAATTATTTTGCTCTTTTAAAGAATTCTATTTTGACTTAGTGAAGTTACCTCATTTTTTCCAAGAATTAACTTTTTAATGAACTCAATGTCATTTTCACTGAGAATTTCTTCCCCTTGTTTCTTTAGCTTTTCAAACCTCTGCTTCAACTTGTCCTTCAAAAGATAATCCACCATTTGAAGAGATAAATCTTCATGCTGTGAAAAAATAGTTTACATAAAGGTTTTATTTTTTATATCAATAACATTTTATAAACCCTGAAATTCTGTTTATACACTTGGTAACACTGCATAATTATAATCATTCAGCAAGTTACTTTGCCTGGTATAATTTTTTTATCTTTTTTATTATTTTAATATTTTCCTATTGTATGTTTTATGACCAATGCTTATATGTAGATCAGAAATAAGTTTAGGATAACAGAATTTGATTAACCAAAAGCAACTACAAGTTACATTTCAGCATCCACAAGTCATTATATTAGATACAAAATTCAAGAATTATGAGATAGGTCAGTTGTTGAGTATTTACATGGTAAAAGAAATACTTAAATATTATATTTTCACATCAAATTTGATTTATAAAAACAAAAACCACTGATCCTATTGAATAAAATCATTACTTAAAATTTATTATTAAGAGTATGAAAGTAATACATCATCATCTTTAACCATAAATTTTTAGTTATTCATATCAGAAATTGCTTTTTTTTTATTACAAAATAGTTATTATGCAGAACCATGTGGTACCTACCTTAAACACTACTTTTTCTTTATGATCAGCCCTGTGGATAAATTTTTCCCAGAAGTGAGAAAATGGCCCATGTCCCAAGTCATGACAAAGTCCAGCCACTTCTACACACAGAATTTGTTTTTCTGTGATTTCAAGCTCTGGCTGCTGTAACTTCAAACAATTCATGAATTTCCTTGCCAAAAATCCCACCCTGACAAGAAAATCATAGAAATAAGACAAGTAATTGACTCTAAACCAGATCAGATAAAAGAAGTATATTGGTATTAAAACAAAACACAAGCTTACATCAGTATTATTTACAATATATTTTAGCATAATTGGATATAAAGTATGCCATCTATTAAAGGTTACTTCTAATCAGCTATAATGTTAGCTACTTAATTTGCTCAAGCATTCTCAAGAACAATTCATATTCAACTGTGTACAGTTGTTGTCACCTTACTACACATAGAATACCAATGGTTAAATAGAACACAGAAGTGGATTGTTAGAATTAAACCTGGTTTAAAAAGCTTAGACTACAAGCAGGGAAATAGTTGAATTAATTTCCTCTGAAGCATACAGAAGATCTGTAGATGATTTGATTTAAATGTTCAAAATTATTATAGATTTGAACATTAAAAGGTTGAAAATACAATGGTTAAACTTAGGAAGCTCATATGCAGACTTGTCCTATAAAATTTATAATATTGTGGAATGATTTGTCTCAGATGTGGTGAATGTATTACTTTGAATTTTTACATATTCTACTGATTTCCACTTGCCAAATCTCTCTTAAACAACTATATATAATGTTATACAACCTCTAATAATGTAAAATAACAAATTCTATACCTACTTTCATTTCAAGATATTAAAAAACTTATGATGTCTAAAAGTAAGCGATAACTAACCCAACAACAAAATTAGTTCTCACCCCAAGGAATGTTCAAAACGTGTGTTGACTCCACCAGGGTATACGTAAGAAACAAAACCTAGTTGCTTTATATGGCGAAGGCGTTGAAACAAAAAGGTGTCAATAATTTCTACACACAGTGGAGGAAAAGAAATCTGGCCATGAACAGGGTCACAAAACACCTGTAATTCAGAATATAAATACATGTAATTAACCTTTCTTCAGAACTAAATATGCTTTTAAGTTTTTACAAATGGGTTTACATCGAAGTCATTTAAGCTTCAGAGATATTAAAGTTATGAATAAATTTTGTTTAACTGTTGGTTATTTTGAGCTCTACTTATAATCTCAAAATATAATTGAAGTTAATATCTAAACTAACTATCCTAACTAACTAAGGGAAGTTTTCAACTAGGACTATACAGTGGTGAGGGCCAGGAAAAACTTAATGCAAAAAGAATAAGAGACAGAGAAAAGTTTAGCATAGGAAATGAGTAGAGAAGTAGTTATAAGGATAGGCTTAATTGTAATGCTAGAAGTATAAGAAATAAAATAGATGACTTTAGAGCACTGGTATGAATGGAAGATTTTGATATAATAGGAATAACTGAAACATGGTTAAATACAAATGATTTTGACGACAGAAATATTTTTGAACTACAGGGTTACAGGCTATTTAATAGGGATAGAGTATTAAAGAGGGGAGAACGAGTGGCTTTATATGTAAAATGTGAGTTACATACTGATGAATTATAGGATATCAAAGATAATAGCAAGAAAATTGAATCCATTTGGGTTTCTATCAGTGGATATAAAGGGAAAAGGCTTTTAGTGGGAATTTGTTACAGACCACCAAATGATACTGATGAAATAAGTGATAAACTTTACAATGAAATTAAGATTTCAGTTGTTAATGAAGTCATAATTATGGGTGGTTTTAATTTCAGGCATATATATTGGGAAATTCTAGAATCAAACCACAAGGGAGAAAGGTTTTTGGAAACTGTTCAAGATGGCTTTCTTCACCAGTTAGTCAAGGAACCAACTAGAAAGAATGCTATTTTAGACTTATTGTTAACTTAAAATACAGAAATGATTGAGAGGTGTTAATTGGGGAACATCTGGGTGTAAGTGATCATTGCTCTATTAGGTTCAATGTTTTGCTGCATATGGAGATAAGGAATAATGATACTTTGGTAACAAATTTCAAAAAAGCAAATTTTGAAGGGATGTGACAAGAATTATCTGTTGTGAATTATGCAGCTGAGTTATTTGGAGACACTGAATAAATGTGGAAAATTTTTAAAGATAGATTTTTAAAATTCAAAATAAACATATTCCCAATAAAAAGAAAAGGGTAGCTACAAGTAAAATACCAGGTTGGCTCATAAAAAGTTTAAGACATAAAATTAAAGAAAAGCATTATAAATTTAAGAAATTTAAATTGACCGGTATGACAGAAGACTTAAACGATTATATACGATCAAGAAAGTTGGTGAAACAGAAAATTAGGACATCAAAAAGGATGTATGAGAAAAATTTGGCTAAAAATGTAAAAATTAACAGCAAGGATTTCTTTAAATACATTATTGGGAAACAAAATGTTAGGATAGGGATAGGACCCTTGAGGGATGATAAAGGAAGGCTAGTATCTGATGATAATGAGATAGCTGGGTTATTAAATTTTACTTTTTCTTCAGTTTTTACTAATGAAGATTTAAGCAGCATTCTACATCTTGATCAGTTAATAAATGGAAATCAGATTAAACAAGATGACGGCATTAATTCTGAGCTGGTTAAGAAAAAATTGGGAAGTTTAAAAAATGATAAGGCTCCTTGGCCAGATAATATTTCCCCAAGGGTTTTGAAGGAGGTTAAAGATTGGATATGTGAGCCACTTGCTACTATTTTTTGTCAGTCCTTGAATAGTGGGGAGGAACCAGAGATTGGAAGTTAGCTAATGTAACTCCTCTTTTCAAGAAAGGTGATATAACTTGTCCCAGTAATTATAGACCCATTAGTCTTACATCAGTTGTGGGAAAAATTTTGGAAAGTCCGTTAAAAGAGACTTTGCAAAATCATTTAACAAAGTTTAGAATTTTATTGGATAGTCAACATGGTTTTACTAAGGGAAAATCTTGCCTTACAAATCTTTTAATATTTTTTGAAAAGGTTACTTCTTATGTAGATGAGGGTAAGGGTGTAGATTTCGTGTAGCTGGAATTTTAGAAAGGATTTGACAAGGTGCCACATAAAAGGCTTGTAAAAAAAATTAGCTTTCTAGGTGTGGGGGGAATAAGTCAGAAAATTGGATAGAGTAGCTGGATGGAAAAAAACAGAGGGTTGTTACAAATGGAGTTTAGTCAAATGTCACAAGTGGGGTACCTCAGGGTTCAGTCTTAGGACCTTTGCTCTTTTTGTTTTACATCAATGACATAGATGAAGGGATAGTCAATAAATTACTTAAATTTACAGAAGATATTACAGTCTTGGGTGTTGCTAGCTGTGAATAGGATGTTGCTGATTTACAAAAGGATTTAGATCATTTAGTGAGTTGGGCAAATAAATGGCAGATGGGTTTTAATTATAGTAAATTGAAGAAAATGCATGTGGGTTATCATAATTTGAATTATAAGTATAATTTGGATGGGAATAACCTTGATAGTATTATGAAAGAAAGGGATCTTGGTATAATAGTTGATCAGTCTCTAAAGCCATCCAAGCAGTGTGCTGTTGCTAGTTGTAGAGCAAATAGGATTTTAGATTGTATCTACAGAAAATATTGAATATAAGTCTAAAGAGGTTATAGTTTCATTGTACAGGTCACTGGTTAGGCCACATTTGGAATAGTGTGTTCAGTCTTGGGCTCCTTACCTTAGGAAGGACATTGATTTGTTGGAAAGGGTTCAGAGAAGGGTTACTAGAATGGTGGCTCGGATGGAGTGGTTGTCACATGACGAGAGGCTCAAATCTTTCAAATTGTTTTCTCTTGAAAAAAGAAGAGTTAGGGGGGATCTGATTGAGGTGTTTAAGATTGTAAAGGGAATTGATAGTGTTGATGTATCATCTTTTTTTATATCTAACAATGGTAGGACTAGGGGACACAAATATAAATTTTGGCAAGGTAGGAGTCATCTTCAGCAAAGACAGTTTTATTTTTCTAACAGGGTGGTTG